GGAAATCGATTGTTGTGGAAAAATCAAAAGAAGAAAAGAAGGCTGAAGTTGATGCTGAAATCGAAAAGCTCAACTCAGAATAGTTCAAAGCATTATGGCTCAGCGAGCAAATGATCCGAAGGGAATGGATAAAGGGGATCCAACTAAACACTATAACTACGAAACAATCGAGGCCAAGGTTGCATTCAATCACATGTATTCATTTGAGAAGAAACCAAAGCAGAGTTATTTGGTCACAATACTGATGCAGGCCAGTTGGATTTTCCCATAAACGAAATGATGTTTATCATGCCTCAGTTCAAAGCAGAAGGGAATTTTAAAAATAAAGATGAAGGTACACACATGAAAATTCGTTTTCATGCTGTTCTTGGAAAAGCCCCTGAGGAAGTTTGGTCTTCAATAAAAATCAAGAAGGTCATAAGTATGAAAAAGGATGTGGTTTTCGAAAACACAGTCCAAAATGTTAAGTATGTGGTTGCCAGGGCAAATGGAAATATATACGAATTCACTGTTACAGATTTTCCATTAATGAACTTGTATGATCTTATACAATTTGCATTACTTTTGAAAGACAAATCATTCTCATACCTTCAAAACACAGAACCAGATGAATTCAAGCTGGAGTAGCTCACATCAAGATTTTTATCGAAAACTATTATGAGTGTTTGGCACTAACAGATGTTGAATTAGCTACTGCCAAAGGAATGGAAATTAAAGCTCCGATAGCTCCTACGAAGAATCAGGTTGAATTGAAGAAGTATGCTGATGGTGAAATTTGCCTGAAGCCTTTTGGAATTGTCTTCGCAGGAAAAGACAAAGCTGGAAAGTCTAAACGGTTCTTATTCCAAGCAAGTGAAGTCGAGAGATATTCAACATCTCAATATACGAACTTGATTGTTCGTATGAATCATTGCAAGAAGAACAATGAAGGCGACAAGAAAGAGCTGAAGAAGATTATCTCCTGGTACACGGAGATTCGAAGAGTATTACTGTATTCCATCACACTTCTTACAAATTGAAGACTTCGACTATGATTACAAAGGGGGAGATTGTAAGGGTCGAATTGTTGTAATTAGTCGAAGTATGTTTTGGACTCTTCGAATATTTTGTAATGTATTTTACTAGGGCGCTTTTTATTCGAAGCTTTAGAGTCATGCCTTAGTATATTTTTTGTATGCTTTCAGTTCCCTATAAATAGGGTTATTTACTAGAGTTAGATAAGAACTTTTACAGACTTGTCTACTATTCTCTGTAAAGAATTCGAAAGCATAATAGAGCATAACAAGATCATATTTACATCGTGTGTTCAAATCTCATATTCTTACTTGAATTCATACTCTGATTAATTCATTACTCGATTCATTGGTTCATCAATAACAAACTGAAAAACATGTAATGAGTCCCCAGCTTTACAGACTGGATTACCCCTGAGCCCACAGTACGAGTCTCCCTTTAGCCCGTAACTGGAATGCTCCCAAGCCCACAGTACGAGTCTCCCTTTAGCCCGTAACTGGAATGTTCCCGAGCCCACAGTACGAGTCTCCCTTTAGCCCGTAACTGGAATGCTCCTAAGGTCTGTTGGCTACCGCACGGAGCAGTACAACCTCAACCCATCCCACATAACATATAACATACCACATAACCACTGAGCATGCATATCATATAACATCAAGGTAGTCTACAGGTCTACCTAACTGGCATCACTACTAGCATGCAACACTAACTTATACTCAACATCTAACACTGTTAGGATAACATATCCATGGGCCGGCCTTGGTGCCTTAGACCCTTAGTATAGTGAGGATAACTCATCTTGCAACTGTCGTCTGAAACTAGAAAGCTCAACTCCCGGATCACCAACACGAACTCCACCACCTATAGTTACCATAAACCCTTTTCATAAATCTCCAAATTACCGACAGAATACCCTCAGAAGTCAACTGGTCAACTCTTGGTCAAAGTCAAAGTCCACAGTCAAAGTCAACAGTCCATGTTGACTCGACTCGTCGAGTGCAGTTCACCGACTCGTCGAGTCCTTCCTAAACTCGAGAAGTCGTGAAATCCTTGATTGGCTCGTCGAGTTCCCCTTTAACTCGTCGAGTTCATACGTGTCCAAGAATTGGGAGAAACCCTAGCCGACTCGCCGAGTCTTCGAATGACTCGCCGAGTTCAAGGCAATCTTCAACGGACTCGCCGAGTTTTTTCATCAACTCGACGAGTTCATGACCATCTTCATATGACTCGCCGAGTTGACTATGCAACTCGCCGAGTCCTTGCAGACCTTCATCCATGTAGACAGTTTTCAAGCCATGCCAAGGTTCCAGATTACAGATCCAAGCTTCTAAGGCATGTTTATCACGTAAAGTTGCAAACTTTACACGCATGCAAGGCCCTAAAGGCTCTAAATGACCAATCTAAGCTTCTAATGGAGCTTTAACACCATAGGAGAGTCTCAACCTTGCAAGCTGGAAACTTTATGGACTTAGGACTCAAAAGAGGTTCAGATCTGAAGTTTCAACTTCAGATCTAGCTCCCATACCAAAATCCCTTCATGAATAACTAAAGAAAGCCCTAGTTTCCACATATGAATGATTCTAGAAGAAAAAGAGGTTAAGGTAACAGCTGGTTACCTCCAAAACATGCCCAAACTGAAGTAGAATCTGGATCCACACATAAATCTTGATGCTAGCCTCTTGATCTACAAATTTCCTTCACAAAAGTCACTTCCCAAAGCTCCAAAACACTCACCAAGCTCTCACTCACGGAAATTAGGGTTTCTGGGTCTCAAGAGGGTGATAGAGGACAGTGGGAGGCGCTAATGGTCCAATATATAGGGTGCAAAACCCTGAAAATTAGGGTTTCCACTGCCAGCTCCTACTCGTCGAGTCCCTCATGCCGACTCGACGAGTCACTCATTAATTAACGTATCCTGGCCCGCTGCTACTCGACGAGTCAAGCGCCAACTCGTCGAGTAGACCTTAGACATGAAGTCTAAATGGAAAAATTAATAATACCTGACGGTTGGGATGTTACATTTTTTCATGTGCTTCTAAGCTCCAACAATGTTAGTATTATGCATTACAAGTAATATATTGGTGTAATTAAATTTTTTAAAAAAATACATATTTTTTTATAGTTTAAAACGAAAACAAATTTAAAAAAAACCAATTTAACAAAAACCAAAACTGGATATAACTAGGGGGTTCATTTGGATGGATCGGTTCAATCCAATCCAATCAAGTGAATCCAAATTAATTTTGGTTTTCGAAACATAAATCTGAATAGTTCAAACAAAATTCAAATCTAATTCGATCCAACCAAATTACTATTCGATTGGATCGGTTTTTATAATTCAGTTTTTTTAAAACCGAAACATTTTAAAACAACATATAATTAAAATATTAGCCAGTTTTATAAAAGAAACAAAAACAGATTATTTAGTTGTGGTTTAAAATTTATAAACAACTAACTAAAAAAATTATAAACAACTAACTAAAAAAATTTATAAACAACTAACTAAAAAAATTATTATTGTTTAATATTTTATAGATAAATTTATTTTAGAGAAAACGTATATTAAGGTTTTCTATTAGGTGAAACTTTTTAGATCTATTTGAAAAAATAATTAGTAAATTTATAAATAATTATAAATATATGTTAAAATTTAATAAATAATAAATTGTTATTCGTTTTTCTTTTGGACTATTAGATTTTTATTTATAAACCAAAACCAATCACGAAATCCAAAATAATAATTTGGTTTTGTTGAAAACCAATTCAAAAATCTAAATATCTGAACCAAATAGTTCAATCTAAATTGTTCAATTAGACAATTCAGTTTTATTCAAATATTCAACGGCCCTAGATATACCTCTCTCTCTCTCTCTCTATATATTATATATATATATATATATATATATATATATATATATATATATATATTATATATATATATAAACGATTAAGTTAAATCCAAATGATCAAAAATAACCGGTTAAAATGCATACCAATTAGGTTGTAAGGTGTCCTCTCTTTTTTACCGATAGACACGTACGTTGATAGGTACACAAGACATTTGAAATTTTTGTCATTTCTAAAAGATATGAGGGTGTGCTAGTTTAGATTGTCGCCAACAAAACCCACACAAATTTCATTTTTGCCGTTGGTGAATTTTCACCGCCAGTAGAACAAAAGGAAGGGGGCGGTGTTCACCGTCGGTAAAAGATGTCACATAGACATACCGACGGTAAAAAATGGACACCCACAACCTTATTTAAAAATTGATTTCGTTTAAAATTGATGTTTGTACACCTCTATTCGGTATGGACACTAACCCACGCGTTGGTTTCCTATGTGGCAACACTAAACCGTGTTGGTTTGACACTAACCCACGCGTTGGTTTCCTATGTGGCAACACTAAACCGTGTTGGTTTCCTATGTGGCAATCCCAAAGGCTGATGGGTTGGCTGTAGAGTGAGTTGGAGTGGTGCTGAAGTCACAAAATTTGATTGGGTAACCGTTTATTGACCATTTCTTTTTTTCATTGATTACATAAATAAGAAGAATATTTGTGGAGTGATTACCATGTCCATGTCCAAGTAGTTTGATGGTGAAGAGATAGTGAATATGACATAACATATAGGTGGCAAGGCAACACTTTTTTCAGTGATTTGGTGGTGAAAATTCCCTTAGACTAATGATGTCGATAATTTCTCTACACCGCCATAGAATTCACAATCCTAATCGGAAAAAGCCACATCAAAACCTATCCTAGGACCTAATAACACAAGATCCCTGCTCTTCATCCCCACATTAATCACGGGGACACAAAAGACCAAATTATATTCCAGTCTGGCACTTTATTCATTCTCTATCCCTGTACTATCTTAAGAGTCACATTTGGCCCACATCTTTTTTAACTACCATTTATACCCTCCGCTTCTTATCCCCAATAATATTATGATCATTATCCCACAGATTGTCGAAATCAAATCACCACAATGACACAAAAAAAACCCCACCTCCAAACCATCACCATCACCCTCGTCCTCCTCATCACCATCATCACCGCCCTCCGCCTCCCGGAATTTCAAGAAGCACCGGCGTTTAGAAATGGGGAAGAATGCAACGACGATATAATTCACATAGCAATGACCCTCGACGCAACCTACCTCCGTGGTTCAATCGCCGGAGTCTTCTCTATCATCCAACACTTAACTTGTCCGGAAAACACCGTCTTCCACTTCCTCACCACCCACCGCCTCTCCTCCTCCCTCCACCACACTATCACAACCACATTTCCTTACCTCAACTTCCACCTCCATCACTTCAACACTGAACTAGTTAAAAACAAAATCTCCATCTCCATCCGCCGCGCACTTGATCAACCACTCAATTACGCCCGCGTCTACCTCGCCAACCTCCTCCCTGACACCGTCCACCGTGTTATCTACTTCGACTCCGACGTCATCGTCGTAGACGATGTTGTGAAGCTCTGGGAAATAAACCTCAACACCCACGTACTCGGAGCACCGGAATACTGCCACGCAAACTTCACCCACTACTTCACGACTAAATTCTGGTCAAACCCATATTTCTCCGGTGCATTCAAAAACCGTCTTGCAAATCCGTGCTATTTCAACACCGGCGTAATGGTGATTGATATGATGAAATGGAGGAGGTTTAAGATAACTGAAAAACTGGAGAGATGGATGGAGATACAAAAAAAGTATCGAATTTATGAATTGGGTTCGCTACCACCGTTTCTGCTTGTATTCGCCGGAGATGTGGGGGCGGTGGAGCACCGTTGGAATCAACACGGACTCGGCGGAGATAACGTGGAAGGGTTGTGTCGGGATTTACATCCGGGTCCGGTGAGTTTGCTTCACTGGAGTGGAAAAGGGAAGCCGTGGCTAAGGTTGGATTCGAAGCGGGCGTGTCCACTGGATGGATTGTGGGCTCCTTATGATCTCGTTAAACATGGGTCGTTGATTTCGGACATGTGAATTTAATGCTGAAAAATGATGAAAATTGAGTGTAGGTGTTGTAATTCTGTCGCATTTTGTGGGTTCGTATCTGGTGGAAACTGCGTCGGTGGTAGATTGGGATAAAGGAGTGGGGTACCTTATTATTAAATCAAAAAATGTAAAAATATTGTTAAACAAACTTTTTAATGTATGTTTTACACGTTAACCATACCATCAAAAATGTTTTGGATAATCTTTAGGTCTTGCAATAAGTGGCACTTCTCGTAAAATATTAATTCTTGCATGTATAAAATGATTTCTTAATGGACAAATGAATAAATTTGTTATTAAAATCAATGGTCAATGGTCCACAAGCCGACCTAAGGAAGGCTATAACTAATGGAGGTGAAAGATTGGACAGTGAGAGGGTTATCATCATTGAATAAATTATGTTCACGTGCCGTAAAACACACATGTTATATGATTTTTTTTTACATACGTATGATTCATTGATTTACCTTTGGTATCATGATAAATCGAATATCATCCATATTTTATTTCATAGAACGATTATTGATTTTTTTTTTCAGCATAAAACTATTTCTTTAACCATAAAATTACAATATATTAATTTCTACTTAATGGACTTGTTAAAATTGTCTATTTTTATGATATACAACTTTTTTAAGATTCTCTACTTGTTATTTATCACAATAAGTCATAAATACGATTTCTATCATAACAATTCATAAACTAGAATTTTTATTTCTAAAAACAACTTTTTAAAGCCGAATTACGATTACTTTTTGATGAAAACTTTTTTTTTCTATAAATATTTAAATTGAGAATTTGTTGAAATTTATATTTTAGAATTTAGATTATGTGAATCCTTATCCATAAACTTGCATTTGCATAATTGCGTGATATTGGGCCGAATAGTTGGGCTTGGCCTGATCCATTGTACGGACTTTGAAGCAACTATTATGAAAACAGTTTTATAACCATGGCTACCGTCACCTTGCAATTGCATGACAAAACCCCCTTCGCGTCCATCTTCCTTCGGTTTTCAACAGAAAATCAAACCACCTTCCAAACCTGAATTCTAAGTTGAGAAGAAAAAATGGAACTTTTCGCGAAATGAGTCACTTCAGAGACGAAATCAGTAAGTATCGAACTCGAAGCACTCGACAATTTTTGTGTAAAAATTGCCAATCATTTCGTCCTTTTACGTTTTAGTTGGGAAGATATAGTTTATCCGTATCGGAGTGTGCTTAATTGGTTGTTGAGGCTGTGTATGTAAGCGAATCCACCAACCGATGACGGAGACAAAGCAACTCGTCGTGGTGGTTGAAGGCACTGCCGCTTTGGGTCCTCACTGGCGCACCATTGTCCCCGATTATCTCGAGAAAATTATCAGGTACTTTATCCAGTCTACGATTCAAATTATGTGAAATCTAAGTTCTAAATACATACATTTATCATCGAAATTAAATCACCTTTTGGTTTTGGTGTTAATAATTACAATCGTGACGAAGCTTCTTGGCTACATAATCTACAATTCTATCATCACCGAATCTATTTAACTTAGAATTGGTTATTTAGTTCGTATCTGATTTTGCATTGGTTTATTGGTTCAATATCAGGTTGTTGACAGTTTTTCCCTAATTTTTATTTGTTCATGCAGGTCTTTATGTGGTGATGAAGATAAGGTAAGCCTTCATTGCTCATACGCAATCTATAATCTCCATTGTGTTCAAATTTTGATTCTTATATCCTTTTCCTCCTCATATTCAGAATCCAGATAGTCCTACTGTTGAAATGGCTCTTGTAAATTTCAATGCTCATGGATCTTACAGTGGTATGTAATTATGTATCTTTCCTTTTTGAATATCATAGACTTTATTTATATCTATGTATATGTATATATCTCATTCCTCAAGTTTGCTTTATGTAATTGAGCAGCTTGCTTGATACAAAGAAGTGGCTGGACAAAAAACATGAACATGTTTCTGGAATGGTTATCAGCTATGAACTTCAGTGGTGGTGGTTTTTGTGATGCTGCAATTGCAGAAGGACTTGCTGAAGTGCTAATGGTATAATATGCATTTTTGTTTGACTTTCGAGTCAACATCTTTATTGCTTCATATGGCTTAATTTCATATTTATGATGAACAGATGTTTCCTTCTTTACATGGGATTCAAAATCATCAAAGGCATTGTATCCTTGTTGCTGCAAGTAATCCATATCCACTTCCTACACCAATTTACATACCACCAGATTATATTGAGATGCAATCAGATGACCCTTTATCTGATGCTGAAACAGTTGCTAAATGTTTCAAAAAGGTGCTATCACTCTCAGTGGCATTTTAGTAATTAATGGGTTTACTCTGCTCATATTTCATATTTGTTTGATCTCTTTTGTTGCAGTGTTTAGTTTCCCTATCAGTTATATGTCCAAGACAGCTTCCAAAACTTAGAGCAATCTACAATGCAGTAATTACTAATTAATCCCCTCTTGTCCTTATTAACTTTCTTGTTTTATTTACTAAATTGCCCTTGATTTTTCAGGCAAAAAGGAACCCTTCAGAAACCGATCCTACTATTGATATTATGAAGAATCCAAATGATCTAGTTCTTATTTCAGAAAGTTTTATGGAGGCTCGTGATGCTTTAACTCAACCAGAAATTACAAATTTGCCCTCGAATCAAACCCCTACAGAAACAGATGTTGCTCCAGTTTCAGGGCCACCTCAAACTACATCAACGAATGATAATCTGCAAAATTCAAATCCTGTTGTTAGTGTTACAATTACGAAAAAGCCCCTGAATGGAAACCCCACGTCATCTGGGGAAGCTGAGTCAGCAACATTACCAGGGACTTCAAGTACAACAATGCCTACAGCTGGAATGGATTCTACTGAGGTAAATGACAGCGTGGCAACTACTATGGGTCCCACACAACAAACGTCAAGTGCACTTCAATCAGATTCATCGAGGTTATATGCAAAACTATGGGAGGTAAAATTTTCATTTTTAATGTAATTAAAATTAGTTAATTAGTTGGAATAAAAAATATAAAATGTTGTGTGATTCAGGGAGACTTAACTGTTGAAAGACAAGGGAACTCTGTCTTTATTACCAAATTACAAGTATGTTTCAGAACATGCCACCTGTCCTTTATTTTATAAGATCAAAATTACAATTGAAGCCTTGTGGTTTTTTTTTTTTTTTAATTTTTTTTTAATTTTTATGGCAGGGATACAGGAATCCCAAAACTTCTGAGCTGTAAGTAATTTGCTTCAATTAGTTGAAGTATAAAATTAAATTAAAAGAATAATGAAAAACATAAATATTGTTTTCATCTGTTGATATTATTTACACATTCTCTCAGGATTGCAAAAGATTGGCCATTGACAATGCAAATAGATACGCTTATACCTGAAGAAGAAATGAAAAACAAGTATATGATCTAACCTTATAAATTGATCTACTTATTCTGGTCCATAAATATTTTGACAAAATTGCATTTTTGATCCCTGTGGTTATGTGATTTTTTTCAATTATAACCCTGACCATACAAAATGACTAAATTGTCCTTGTCATATTGTTTCTTTTACTTTTTTTTGTTTATAATTTTCTAAAAATAATCTTATATGGGAAGTTTAGTCATTTTATGTCTGATAGGGACGAAACGGGAAATAAAATCAAACCACAGGGACCAAAATGTAATTTTCTCAAAAATAGTTGCAGGAAATTCACTGGAAAGGTAGATTATATTGTTTTCCGAGGAATGAATGAGCGTTCCACCTTTCTTGGACGATTACAAGAGAAGAAGCTCGTAAGTCATCTCAAATTAAAATCAAAATTTTTGCTTATATTTAATTGTATGTGTTTATATAAGTTTTATATTTTTTATTTATTTATGCAGTGTATGGTGATTAAGTTACCATCACAGACGTTGTTGTTGTGTGTAACAGCTGATAGAATAACTCGATTGGTTGGAATGGTTTTACCTCAGGTAATTAAGTAAATATAAATATACTATTCTATTTGTAGATATATAGTTTGACACAAGTGGAATATTTGTTTTTGTGTGAAATAGGAAATGGTGAAATATGAAAAGTAGGAGGAGGGAAAATGCAATTAGATTCTTGGAAAGGGACACAAAGTATGACTTTTGTAAAGTGAAAGATTTAAAACAAAATGTTTGTGCAGTGGTAGTCTGGTAGAGTTGTATGTTGTTCATATTGTGCAGTGTTAAACTCTTTTGAAGTAGCTGTTGTTGCTATAGCAATCTCATGCATGTTCATATTTTGGTCGAAGATATGTTATGTCGCTTTTAGTGCCAATATTGGATGCTTTAAACTAGTTTGGATTTAGAGTACAACTCTTTAGCATAAAAATCTTTTTTTTATTAGATTTCAATGTTTGAATAATGGTAGTTCTAGATTTCAAATTTTCAAATTTAAATCAAGATTATAAGAAGAAACAAAAATTCTTAAATGACAAAACTTCAAAAATGGTCCCTGTGGTTTTCGAAAATATCAAGTTTAATCCCTAAGTTCAAAAAACCTCACAGATGGTCCCTGTGGTTTCAAAACTTTTAACATTTGGTCCTTCCGGCTCACTCCGTTAGCATTTCACCGTTAAATAAGGGGCATTTTTGTCATTTCACTACCCAGGGACCATTTATGAGGTTTTCTATTACTTTTTTAAAAAATTATAATAATAAATGAATAAAATTTAATATGCAAAGGTCCCACCCCATCTCTCTCTCTCCTTGCTCGTTTCAACTTATGTCTAAGCTTTAACGAATACACTCGTCTCTCCTCCGCCACCGCCTCCACTTCTTCCACTGTTGTACGTAACCTCCATTCTCGCCCTCACCGGAAATCTAATGCTAACTGGTCCGCCATAAAAGCTGCCACCAACCTTTCCTCTGATGGGATTCTCCATCTTAGTCATCTTAAGCTTGTACGCCTTGTGGGATCGGGGAATCTTGGTCGGGTCTTCCTCTGTCGCCTCCGAGACTGAGAACATGCACCATTGTTGAGGCGATGCTATGGATTCAATTTGAGTTGGGGATTCAATTTCTGGAGGGGAGTCATCACCACCATTGTTGGATTCATTTAATTTCATGTTCTGGTCTGACTTCTTGGAGAGGGATTTGATACAAGGTTTCTGATTTCAAGTTTGAAGATCGATTTGAGTGATTAATATATTTGATATGGGTTTGTGGGATTCTATCCATTTCCAGATTACCTAAGTTATAGGTTTTCACAGGTGTGGTGGCAAGACTGTCTTCCCCAGCGAGACTGTAAAGAAAAGTTAGGGACCATCTGTTCTATCGCTATCCTGATTCTCCGGCGAGAGTGGTGGTGGTCGGTACCGGTGATTCTAGGTTTGTTTTTGTGGGCCGATTCTAATGTTCCTCGTCAGCTGATTCTAATGGCGGGATCCAGCGGTTGGATGATTGGGTGAGTCCGATCAATCTGTTTTTTGTTTCCAAAATCTCAGTTCGACGACGTTCTTGAATCATTGCTGGAGATTGGAGATTGAAGACAGGTTCTTCAACTTACCAAGGATTAAATCCTTGAAGACCTTTCAACAAGAATATCAGAAGGTAAATCTTCAAAAATTCGATTCTGGTAATTACAATTGGACCAAAACGGGAACAAGAGTGACAGCTATGGCCAAAACCTTCATCTGGATTCTAACAATTTTTATGTTCTGCGTTCTAACGAATAGACCCTTCATCTTCATGTTTTTGTTTCAAGAACAAGAAACAAACTTGTTTATGGGGATCGATTTTCAGATCTCGATTTATGGGCTTAAACACAATTCGATTTTCAACATTACACCCACACACATTGGACACACTTATGGGTCTGGAAAAGGACCTGAAGATGTCTTCTTAAATCGTAAGTTCTTGAGAGAGAGAGAGAGAGAGAGAGAGAGAGAGAGAGAGAGAGAGATGGGGTGGGACCCTTTGCATATTAAATTTTATTCATTTATTATTATTATTTTTTAAAAAATTAATAGAAAACCTCATAAATGGTCCCTGGGTAGTGAAATGACAAAAATGCCCCCTACTTAACGGTGAAATACTAACGGAGTGAGCCGGAAGGACCAAATGTTAAAAGTTTTGAAACCACCGGGACCATCTGTGAGGTTTTTTGAACTTAGGGATAAAAACTTGATATTTTCGAAAACCATAGGGACCATTTTTGAAGTTTTGTCTTCTTAAATATATAAGTTTTTCTAGTGTAAATTACACATTTGGTCCCTGTGGTTTGCCTAAACTCACATATTTGGTTTTAGTATTGGATTTTTTACATGGCTGAACCTTGTGGTTTGCATTTGTTGCACTGGTGGCCTTTTAGGAGTTAGATCGAACAACTTGGCTGTTAGTTTTTTTTAAATATGACTAATTTGCCCTTATATCTACTAACTGGAACTACTAATCATTACTAATCACTACAAATAACAATTGCGGTCATCACTAATACCACAACCATAACCTCCACCCACCACCACCACACCTAATGTCACCATCACAACCACCACAACACCGTTTCTGTCACCTCATTACTCTTGCCACCAACATCTCAACCACGTCAACACCACTCCGGCCACCACCATCACAACCACCACAACACAACTCATGCTACCTCACTCCTACCACCACTACCAATTTGAAATCTCCATACTCTAACTATGTCATCACTTGTTACTTTCACACAACAACTAATTTACATAATACCAAACCATAATACATTTTCTTAACTTGCATCATTTTTTATTAGAAATAAAAATCATTCTAACATTTTAGCTAACCATAATACCTTGGCCACAACAAGTAATGTATATGTTTCAAGTTCCATATCATTAATTACCAACAAAGCACACAAGCAATCCAATGACACAACCAATGAAACGAAGCTTAATTGGTTTTATGTTCAAAAGCATTACCAACAAACCACACTGCTTATGGTAAAAAAAACAAGGACAAAACACAAACAATGGAAACTTAATACATATCCTCGTCGCAAACATTACCAACAAATCACACAAAAATTTCCACAATAACAACATCGCAGACTTTATCTTTGAATAAACGTAGACATCATTGTCCCATTCTTGGTGGACCATTAACAGTTTCCAATCGGAACAAAATTTCATCTCTTGGATACTGAAAATACACCAAGAACATTCTCCCTCTTTTCAACAAAATCTTGCCCACCCACAATCCATCTCATATGGTTTGCACCTACTATACAATATCTCCCATAAAAAAGTCACTCACTAGAATTTCAGGAAGAATTGACCTACTCTTATCTAATAAGACAATATCCCGAAGGGACCATAACCTGTAAGGATATATAAGGGTTTAGGGTGGAAATCTTGATTCCATGTGGATCGTGTAGGTTTGCTTTCCGAACTAATATTTCTACCATATGCACGGGTTACAAGAAATCCAGTCTAGGATAATCCAAATGGACACTTATGAATCTTTGCACATAAACGTAAGCCAAACTGCTAGAAGAATTTTGAGTTCTTCAGAGAAAAAATAAGAGACGAGAAAGGGTATCTCCGGCTCAAAGAGAATAATTGTATTTATACATGATAGTTAGGGTTGCAATTATGGTTGTCATTTCTAAATTACTCAAGTAATCCCGAAATTAATGGCATGATCGATGGTTTCCAAAATTGACGAGATTTGCCAATTTTCCCCTCGACCCCACCAGGGGATCTGCACCTTGGACCTCGCTGCCCCTAAGACCTGCAAGGGGCGCGGGCACAAGCCCTTGACCCCCGTCATCTTGTGTATCGGCTTATAGTTCGATCTTATATATATATATGTGCACTCTTCACACACCGAACATATAATATATAGTACAAATCATAAACCCTTTAACTCACATATTAATCCTAATTACACAAAATGTCCGGTGACACTAAAATCACCAACATAAATCGTCATCATTTAGAAGGGTTCAATACTGAACGATGACCTTTCGATCGGTTAAAATAGAGATGACATAGGCAAAGTAGTAAAATTCTTCAAACCTTGTTTCGGTGATGGATACTTCAACTCTATCTTAAACAACATGATTCGATTTTCATTCTAGCAATTCGATTTCATTTCTGACACAGACGTTTGGATTCCTATATAAACCTTTTGATTCTGACACCGAGGTTATGATTCCGATAGCAAGCTTATGATTCCACCACTTATTCCATCCTTAAGATTCTGATTCCTACACATATAAGTAGGGACGACAATGGTAGGATGAGACAAGAAGATGAAGTGAATGTTAGGAAGGTGATACTTTAGGGTTTCTCCAACAACGAGAGCAAATTAGTCTTTTCAAATGGATATTACGACTATAAGTAGGAGTTAGCCTCAGGGACCACTAGTGCAACTAATCCAAACCAAATGGATCATCCATGTCAAAAATCCAATACTATGACCAAATCTGTAATTTCATTTTTAACAGGTTATGACCATTGAAATTTGTATGAGATTCTGACTCAACTTTTCAGCGTATAAGTGAAAGTTTATTACTAAGGTGCTGTTTGTTTTTTTAAAAAAACCTCTTCAAACCACTTTCTGATGTGCGGCGCAGCACACGCACAACACTTTCCCTCTCGCAGCAGTTTGTTTTTTGGAAGACTTCAGACTACAAAACCTCTGCGCGTGTGTTGCGTGGCGCAGCACTTGACTTGTCTCTTCAAACCACTTCAGCTTTCATTTTTTCCAAGTGTTTTTTATAGAATTTTGGTATAACTTATTTTTTACAACTTTGATTTTTTAAAACTTTTATTTACGGATTTGATACAATTTCTTTAGTTTCCACAAATTTGTTTAACTTGATTTAAAAAAAAAAAACTTTTTTTTAAACTTTTTTACCGTTTCTGTTAATAATATTTTTAATTTCAGTTGCATCTTTTTTAATGTGTGTAATTTTTTATGAACTTTGTAGACATCGTTTGCAATACTTTCTTATTTTATTTTATTTTATTTTTTTATGTTTTTTAAAATTAGTTTTTTTTCTAGAATAAATATGTTAGCTTCTTTTATATTTTTGTAAGTTTTTTTTAAAAAAGTTTTATATTTTTGTTTTTTTTACATGTTCTTTTTAGTATTCTTTCAATGTTTTAAGACTAGAATTATCAAAATTTCGGCGTTGAGAACTATTTTCATTTATAAAATTAGTTTATTTAAATTTCAGTTTACTGCAACAGTCTGCAGACGTTAAAAAACAAACATGCTTCTTATTATAAGCGGCAGCCGTTTGTTCCACCTCTTCTGCTACAGAGGATTGCAGAAGTGGTCCGCAGACTTCATGAATTTTCGCTTCGAAAAAACAAACAACACCTAACTTATGGTGTAAGTTAAAGAAATGGTCCATGTGGTTCGCAAAGGTCACACTTTCAATCCATGTTTCAAAAAAATGGAACAATCAATCCCCATGGTTTTGTTTTCTTGCAAATTCGATCTTTAGTACTAACTACGTTAGAAAATAACCGTTAAGTCATCGTAAAATGACAATTTTACCCTTATAATTGGACTTCTTGTTTTGTATTTTATTTTTTCAAATTTTATTGGTTTTATTATTACTCATACCGTCCACCACTTCTACCTCAACCATCTCCAAAAAAAGTTCCAACCACCAACATTACTTCCATCATCTCCAAAGAAACTCCAACTAAAACAACGATACTGCCTACTACAGGAATGCAATGTCTTGTTATAAATAACACTGTATTAACTAATGTGGGCACCCCAAACAAACATCAAGGCATGATAGTATTTCCAAAATATAACCAGAGGCATGAATTCATATGGGCAACTATTCGGTAACATTATCAGGGACTTCAACTAGTAATGTGGTGAATGACAACATGACAACTAATGTGGGTCCCGAACAAGAGCCGCGGAATTTGTAAAATTATAGGAGGCGAAAAGTTGTACACATTTTCATATTTGAAATTGTTTAGTTTTTTTAAAAAAAAAATAATGTAACGTGATATTTCAAGATGGATGACATGTCTTTATAACAATTAACAAGATTAAAAGTAAACAAAACTCGTCTTCTCTCTCAAAAATATGCCACCCGACATTGCTATATTTTTATATCAAACACCATTATTTTAAAAGGATACTATTAAAAAGTAAGTAGTTGGAATGTTTTAATTGTTTTTAATAATATTTTATGAATAAAAACATAGGAATAAAAACATATCGTTTGTTATCTATTTTTGGTAATCATTTAAAATGTTTGGTGTTTTCTTAAACCAAATAGTTAGTTACTCGTTTGTGATTGATAGTTTATATACTTTTATTTATTTTATAAGATCAGATTTTCAATTCAAGCCTTGTTTTATGTTTTTATGCTAGGCTACAGGGAATGTAAAGATTCTAAGCTGTAAGTATCTATGAGGATCATAATTTTTTATGCTTTTTTTTAACGGAAAATTTAATTTATTTTTAAACTACTCCTGAATACACATATGTTTTAGATGAGATTTGATTTTGACCTTAAGAAGAGAGAACAACATTTGATTTGGGCTAAAGACTATATAATATTAAATTAGAAAAATCATGAAAAACACAACATTTGTAGACATCATTTACTCTTTTTTCACAAACTTGGAAACGGTTGGCCATCGGCAATACAAGTAGATACGATTTGGGATAATGACTTAAAATGGTAACATATTATTGGTTTTGTACACATTTAGTCCCTGACTTTTTTTTTGTCCACATTTTACCCTTGTACTTGTTGTTGTGTTTAAATTAAATCATTATTACCGGTTGCTTCCATATTTGCTGACATGGCTACCTATGTGGACACTCATTAAAAGAAAACACTCCTACGTGGATCATCTCTTAGTTCTGTTGATTATAATACGATGCCTAGCCCTAACTTCAGTCAAAAACATTCGAACCCATACCCAAAATCGAAGAAGAAGATGTCGACTCCCAGTTCATCTGGTTCCATCACAAAGATGGTTCCATCACAAAGAAAGAGGAGCTATGTGATTGTCAACTCCCGGTTCGAATATGCACATCCAAGACTAAAGACAACCCTAACAAAAAGTTCAAAGTTTGCCCTAATTCTCTGGTATGTCGATCTTGATTTCCCTCTGTACTTTTGATTTTCCTTCTAATAAATAAAGATTTTGAGGTTCTTACAATTTTTATATTTGATTTCAAAGAAACCAGGTAAGAAGTGTATGTGACTGGGAATCCGGATTTAAAACAAGAACTTGAAGCAGTTAAAGAGGATGTTGCATGTTTGAAGAAAGAAGTTCAAGAGCTGAAGAATAAAGCACATAGTTATAGGGTTGAAATCAGTTGTAATATTATATGAAAACAGTTTGAATAGAGTTTTGTATGATGTATTGAATTGTGGTATTTTGAATGTAGGGATTGAATGGTTTATATGGAATGTACTGAATAGTTTATATTAAATGTATTGAATGGAGTTTGCATACTGAATGAAGTGTTACATGGTGAACATTTGATTGTAATTTACATTGAATTTGGCTGCAATTTCAACAGCCAAAAGACAAGGACATTGATAGAAACAAATAGGGAATATGATTCCCAGTACACAACTGACATATGATTCCCATTATGACCTTCTTAATAAACTAATGCATTAATACCAATAAAGATTGAAAAAGACAAAACACAATTAACATAGGATACCATATCCGATTCCATTTACTTAAAGACCATAAAAAGTTGCTAGGTTACAAGCAAGGGTAGTACTGTCAATTACATCAAAAGTTGGCCCAATTAACAAAAGAAAGTCACCATACATAGTGTACTATTACATACTTCCAAAGCAAAAGAAAACAAGTAACCCTAATCAATCTAAATCTAAAGTAACTGGGTTGTCCTCAGTCACTCCTTTGCCATCCTTTCGGAAAACCTGCTTCCTGATTTGTACCTTGTTGATTCTCTCTGAAGGCTTCCTTGCTCTAACACCAAGTCTCCTAGGCACCCTAACACCAAGATTCACAGGCACTTAGTTAACAGGTATTGGATTCACAGGATATTGGTTGATAGGTACTTCATTCACAGGAACTTGATTCACAAGATCTTCATTCACATGCTCTTGATTCACAGGGATATTGGTTGATAGGTACTCCATGTGCAACTGCATAGTTACTGAGAGATGACTTAAGTTCTTCAGGAGAAGAGAATCTCATACCTAGTTCAGGCTTCATCTTCCTCCATTCCTGAGTAGCATCATGCCTAGGGTAGACAGCTGGAAGTTCATTGCCTTTTTCATATTCATCTTCAACAACTACTGGACATAACTTGTTCAAAAACTTATCATTATAGGTTCTTTTGAAGAATCTTTTGCTTAATGTAACACATTCATCCTCTTCATGTTCACAGTTCTCATCATCTGCCAAAACAGAGTCGACATCTTCTTCTGAATACACAAGTTCTTCATCGTCTGGTTCTTCTTTCTGAATCCACTCAAATAGAGGTTCATTATCATGGTCAATATACACATCCACATGTCTGTTAGCATTTGCAACCTCAAGAAACTAAGAGTAGTCACATTCATTTTGTAGTGTTTGGAGCCCCCCACTCAATCTCACTTCAGGTATACAGTAATACACATGCTTGCACTGAAAATCGATAAGCTTCTCAACATATTTGATGAAATCGGAGAAACCAAACTCGTTTGCATCTTCATTAAGACGTAGTACTTGTGGAGCAAAATACACTAACGGATTAGGCACAAAAGTACCATTATAGTGTACATCGACTTTTGGAAAAGCTTGATTTTCCTCCATTGAATCAGAATGGTGTTTTGAGAGAAGAGAAGTGTGAGTAATGTGGAACCGATCAAGAACGAATTATGAGAATAAAGACAATATAACCCTAATTGATCTTCGTTCGTAAATGAGGTTTCTTGATAAATGAGAGTGGAAGAGGGTAACTGCCACGTAATTGCCACGTAAACCAGTAAAACACAAAATGACCGGCTTAACTGGAAGCAACCGGTAATAATGATTTAATTTAAACACAACAAGTTCAAGGGTAAAATGTGGACAAAAAAAAATCAGGGACTAAATATGTACAAAACCAATAATATGTTACCCTTTAAGTCATTATCCCATAGGATTTTACCCCTAGAGGAAGTGAAAAGCCAGTATGATCTACCTACCAATATCTCTCTAAATGTTGACCTATTTGTTTATTGAAAAAATATATTTTTACTTTTACTATTTCATGACAAGATACACAGTGTAAAGGTGGATAGTGGTTGTTACAGAGCAATGAATGGGTATTACCAGCTTAAACAAATGCAAGAAAAGAAGCTTGTAAAGCATCTTTAATTAACCAAGCTTTTGCTTATGCATTTACATATGTAAAATAATGTTTTACATTTACTTTGTTGTTATTTTATATATGGTTCTGTTGTAAATTACCATCGAAGACGTTAATGTTGTTATCAAAGGAGTAGGAATGTTTTTCATATATATTGTAATTTACTCTTATTTTAATTTTGTTTTCAAGAAGTAGTAAATTTTGCTGTGAACTAAAAATGGAATTTAAAATAACATTTTTAAACAATAATCTAAATTGTGAAAAGGAAATAGACTTGTACATTGCAAATTAAGCATATGACACAATATAATTTATAACCAAGAATGAACTCAATTCAGATATTAAATATACATCAAAATCGAAAGGCATTTGGCCTAACGATATCAGGTATGTTGTAAAAATACGTTTTATCCAATAGGTTGCGATTTCAAGGTTTGTGGTAAACAAATGTAGATTTATGAGTATAATTAACGGGTGTATTTGTTTTAGGCATTCTAAAAAAATCGTTCATGTTAGTTTATTTAATAGATGAACGAACATTAACAAGATTTTTTGTTTGTTCAATTAAACGAACAAATACAATCAATGGTCTTATTCATTCATTTACATTCGTAAGCATGTATTAATCTTCGCTTATGTTCGTTTGTTTTCATTCTTTTATGTTAGGTTATTATGTTGTATTACATATAATATTATACAATTATAATAATATACAATTGATGATAATGGAAGTAGAGCTTAAGAGTGGTTCAAGATTTTACAACTTTTAGATTTTATAAATAAAAAAAACCAAAATCTAAATTACTAAGATCAACATACTATAAGCATTAACAATCAAGTTTTACACTTCTTCATTTGAATGTTACTGTTCATTTATGCTCGGTTATGTTCATATATGCTCGGTTATGTTCATATATACTCATTTAGTTTCATTTATTTTGGTCAATATTCGTTTATTTATGTTTATACATTCATCTGCACTTAGATTCTTCACAAACACAAACAAACAAAATAATTTGTTATATGAATTATGTGAACACGAAAATATGTTAATCTATATGTTCGTGTTCATTGATTTATTCACTTATACTTAAACGAAAATTTGTTACTCAATTTATTTACACCATAATTATGATTTGGTAAAAGCTTGGGTCTAAAGGAGACAAGTGTTCATGGGGCCTTTAGTACTTGGTAGTGGGCACAACGAGGCAATGATGGGGAGTGAGTTGCATTACACAATTAAGTAATGCACTACATTATTTTAAAAGTGATATGTGAAACAAAATTCTATTCAAGTTTGTAAACTTAGCAAATGGTGTTTCTACTCTTTATCTTAGTTTTTCTAATGTAACAATCATTTTATCATATTCCATTAATGCTCATTATAATCATAAAAATAAAGTTGACAATCTCTCGACTTTTATACATTGGAACTTTTATGGACAACTGTAAGGAATAAGAAAATATTTTCTTTTTATTTATTTTGTTTTTTTTCCTTTTTTTTTCATTAAAACGCTATTAAACGGAGATTAATTCGTCAAACCAACTACGATTAACATTATCCTCCTTGTCGCTGGTGTGCTCAATGACACTGTTGATTCAATTGATTTTGTTGCCGTTGAATTTCAGCTTTTTCCATGGCATTTCCATTCAAAACCCTAACTATCTACTTCCATTGACTTCTTTCTATAAAATTCTCACTACCAAACGGTTTTCGTGATCCGATTATCAGTTAATCCAACGATGAATCAACTACAAAGCATCCCTTCTTCTTCCGACGACGACTCTGGTTCTATGAACACCGCTCGACAGGTAACCGGATTTTCACGCATGTCAATTCTACTATTATCTTCCTTTTTGTGTTTCAAACGTTTGCTTCTGTATGCGTATTTGCATAATTGCATTAACGCCATGATCATAACCGACAAAAATCGCATGTGTTAATACTCGTAAATTATTTCGATTGAATGCGTATTGTTACGATATACGATTGAAGAATCACATGTTTATGTCCAGACTTAATGTTGATCTTGTAATTTTGAGGAAATTTTTTTTCCAGTTGTTGCTTTCAATCTGTCAATTAATAACAGATACGTCAACAAAACATGTCTATCATTCATTTAAAACTAGAATCGTGATCATCCGATGATTTTATCGTTTAATAATCCATGCTTATAGAAAGAACATCACATAAATCAGAATTTAATCGTCTAATCGCGTTCAATTTTGAGCCAATTAGTGTTCGAATCTGTAGATGATATGATACATGATACATAAATGTTTGTAAACAGGTGTTAGGCATTTTAATCTTCTGTACTTATTGTTATGCTGTTGTGTAATCCACGGATTTCTGATACATAAATTTGAGATGTGAATTTGAATTATAGAGTGCAGGGCAAAGCCACATAAGTGGAGAAAGTGGTAATTCAATGGTAATGGGAGCAGGTTTTGAAGGCTCACGTCATTGGCATGATGTATTCTGGCTAGGGATCTTTCTATTGCATTTAATATTAGTAGGTCTTGCACTTGGGGTACTTGGACTTAATAGGTTTAGAAAGAAAGATAGACTTAAACTGGATCAATACACATACAAGTTCCTTGGAAATGAAGCTGATTTAACAGAAGACTATTGGCCACTATATGCCATTGCTGCTGGAGTTGGGACACTTCTTGGATGGGCTTGGTTGTTGTTGCTTGGTTCACGTGCAAATCAAATGATGAGGATTTCTGTCCACATATTGACTACTTATCTTGCAGTTCTTAGTGTTTTGTGCTTTTGGGGCAAAATGGTCTTTTGGGGTGTTGCTTTTGCTATCGGTTCTGGTTTTCAGTTTTTATATATCATATCCGTCATAGACAGGTAATATTCAAGACTTAGACTTGTATATAATATATCTATGTCAAAACTCAAAAGTTACTGCTTTTATAATCGATGATTAGAATAATCAAGTGATATGGGATTTGCAAGCATGTATATTAATCTATTATCCTCTACCACTTCAAATTATTATTTTGAATGGGAAAATGCAAGAAATAGCAATGTAGTTTCTATTTTTTTTTTCTTATTATAGCATTGTACTTCAAACTATTTCTTTTTAGAAAATTCTACTTAAAAAAGTTTACACATCATAGCAACAGAATCCCACTGATTTGAATTATGCTGACATGGAAAAAAATTATAATTTTTTTCAAGAAAACTGCCCATATCATATATTTAATAAAAAAATTATCATCAAAATTTTGTATCTTAACACATCATACATTGAATCAAATATCTTTATAATAAGTAATAACATAACTCCATGAATTAAACATGTTCACAAAAGATCACTATTTCATGTTTACACAAGTTAAACATGTTCACAAATGTTTGATGCTATAATTCAAATATTTCATATGGACAGTTTCTAACTAAAAAATCATAAACTTATTGCCATGTCAGCAATATATTACCAGTGTACATCCTATGTGGACAATTACATTTCATTAAAACCTATTAACTTGTACCATGTCATCATAATTCAAAAACATTTCATAGTACAATGCTTTACAATGCAATAACATAAGGAAAAACTAAAGACTACATTGTCATTTATAGCATTTTGCCTTCTTATGAAAAAGTAACAAAAGGATTCATTTGCCGAGACTGTGTCTCTTTCAAAAAAAACAAAAGGATTGAAATTCAACACCACACAATCTTTTTAAAACACACATCTTGATTAAGTGTTTTTTGCCTTGTATTCAGACTTCCATTTACAATGTTGGTTTTACAAAGAGCTGTAAAAATGGTATGGAGGCTTCCAAATGTTATGAGAATAGCATGTGCATTCATGGTAATCATGTGTCTATGGTTATCCCTATGGTCATTTGGTGCAGCCGGAGTGGTGGCTTCAAGCATTGGTGATGGTGGACGCTGGTGGCTACTTGTGGTGAGGTGGCGAGTTTTACTTATAAAAAGAAAAAAAGATTCTTTTATTTAGGACAAATTTGCCCCTCATGTGATGACAAATGATGTTTACTTTGTAGGTTTTGTCAGTGAGTTTGTTTTGGACAGGGGCAGTTCTTTGTAATACTGTTCATGTTATAGCATCTGGAATGGTGTTTCTTGTGCTTATCCATGGTGGACAAGAAGCAGCATCAATGCCTAATAATCCTTTGATGCAATCTTTGAGATATGCTGTGACTACTTCTTTTGGAAGCATATGTTATGGATCACTTTTCACTGCTGCTATTCGAACACTTCGGTGGGAGGTAAATATTTATATTTTAATTTTTATATACTTTTCTTTATCTATGTTGTTGAATGGAATGGAATGATAAAAAGGAATGGAATGGAAATGGAATGAGTCAGAGTTATTACATTCCATGATTATGTTTGGTTGGTCTGTAGGATTGGAATGAATCTTCAGCTGAATTTTTTTATGTTTCATTGAAATGCAATATAGAATTTTAACTCTACTTTATACATTATTAAATTATAATTAATAAAATTTTATTTAGAAAATGAAAACAAATTAAGGGGTAATCACTAAAATGACCAAAAAGGGTGGTCTTTTATCATCATTTGACCACCTTTTTACAGTTCTTCATAAAAAAGTAATTTCCCGGATTTTTTTATTATCTATTTCGTGAAAATCATGTCATTTTGCAATATTTTTTTGAAGATTTCTCCAAATTTGTGTGAAAAAATAATATTTCGCGAAATAGTTTGTCATTTTGTGATTTAAAGCCCATTGAAACCCAAATGAGATTGTAATAAAAAACAATTTTTCAAGTAACTTTTTATAGAAAATATAATTGTTACTCTCAATTGAAGTCAAGAAATTTAAAAAAGAAAAAGAAGATTTTTATTCATTATAAATTACATAAATAAAAATCAGTTAGAGTGAAAATTTACATTCCATTCCATGATGGAATTAAATAAAAAACACCTCCTACCTAAGGAATGAAAATCAACAAAAGGGAAAGAATCACATTCCTTCAAGAATCATCCATTCTATTCCATCACACGAAACTAACAGTTTTCCTCATCATTCTAACGGAATGAACGATTCCATTCCATATATCAGATTAGGGGATTCAGATCCAAAATTGGCAACAATGAATGTCTTCTATGCTGTGTTGACTTCCTCTTTCATCTAGTTGAAACCCTTGTTCGTTTCTTCAACAAATACGCATACGTACAGGTGCATATGTATATATTTATATTTTTTTCAAAATCAATTTATACCATCCGACTTTTCGGGCTTAAAAAATTTTATTCAAAAATTTTAAACTTTTAGATTGCAGTTTATGGGAAAAGTTTCAATCACTCAGCAAGAGACGCATGGGAGTTATTCCAATCAACTGGTGTTGAAGCACTTATTGCATATGATTGCTCAGGAGCTGTTTTACTAATGGGGACGCTTTTGGGTGGGCTTATGACTGGAACTTGTGCTGCTGTTTTGACCAGGATTAAACATTCTGACCGTGTCATCATGATGGGGTCCACCGCAGGGTTATTGGGCATGATCTTGGTAAGTAAAGGGTAAACTACAAATGACCATTTTGCCCCTATCTTCATCTTCTTCCTCTCCTTCATGTTCATCAAGAACCGGTGTTCATTTTACGTGTAGATGGACGAAAATGAAAGGGGTGGAAGAAGACAAGGGCAAAAAAGTCATTTTATATACTTAATGTTTAGGTGCTAACTTAAACGGTAGGGATGAAAAATGATACAAATGCAATCTTAGGGGTGAAAAAGGTTAAAATTTTATCTTAAGGGACCCAATCCGTAAATTTTAACAAACCACTAGTTTTTAGTTCTAAATGTCAAGGCCAAACTCGACAAAATTATTTATTTTACTTTCTAAACATATTTTTAGAGAAAATTACATTTTTGGTCCCTAAATATAGTTGATTTTTTTCAATTTTGATTTCAAATAATTATCTTATAGTTTTGCTCCTCATTTAAGGTTTTTAATTTTTTATAACATTTTGGTTGTAGTTCCAAATAATGACTATACTTTAAGGACCAAATTTGCAAAATTCAGCTACGCTTAGTGACCAAAAATAGTTATTTTACTTGGAATATGAACCAAAATCCAAAAATAGTCCTTTCACTTGTAATATGGACCATAAACCTAAAAATAGTCATTTTACTTGGAATATGGACCCAAAAAATTATATAACCTTAAATAAGGACCAAAGTTCCAAGAGAATTTTTTGGGACCAAAATTGAAAAAGCCAGCTAAATATAGGGACCAAAAATATATATTTCCACTTTCTTTTATAATATAATAAACCCCTAATATGTTTTGTAGGTTGGATTGGCGATGGTGGTGGTTGAAAGTGCGGTTACATCGATATACATATGTTATGCGGAAGATCCATTATTGATACACAGGTGGGACCCAGAGTTTTTTAACCAGATGTCAGAGACGCTGCATCAGCGTCTCCAACATAGAAGTTCACGAGGAACTCAAGTATTGAACCGGAATCGGCCTGTTGTTGACCGTATACAAGAAACAATCACCGTATGATTCTTAAACTTTTAGTTTTTAATTTTTTTTGAGAATTTAATCTTCATTTACTTTTATGATGTATAGTTTTTTGTTCTTATGTTTGGGTCATGATCTAATTATTCACTTTAGTAAGAAACTTAAGAAACTAAGAATGATTTCAAATGTTTTATTGTCTTATGATGTAATGATCGTGTTTGTAGTGTTTTTTTTTTTTTTTTTTTTTTTTTACCATGGATAACTTTTTAGATTCAGTAAAATTGTTTGTATGTAGACTTTTTTGGTTAAATTATTCTCATTGTTATAATAAAGTCAAAATATTTCTCATTTTAAAGAAATATGCAAAATATTATAATATATATATATATATATATATATATATATATATATATATATATATATATATATATATATATTCCAAACTGGTCCCCATGGTGTGTATTTCAGGAAAAAAAACATAGCTAATCTGTATTCTATATAATTAGATTCTTAAATTCATAACCCAAATATAAATCATACAAAATTTTGGACTAAAATATTACAATGAGCCAAAAATTGCAGCCAAATTGATAATTTTGGAACTTATTTATGCAAACTAGGCGCAGAATATATTTAAATGCCAAAATGTTGATAAGATTATAATTTTATAATTTAAAATAGTATGAGAATATGTTGGTTGAATTATTTTTGTCTTTAGAAGTATTTAACAAAAAAAATGTTATATTGGTATTTTGTAAGAAAGTGAGTGTTACATTTTTCACATATTGGAAGTGAATTTACCAAAGTCAATCACACATTATCTCAACATATCCTTTTAAGTAAATATGGTTCATTTAATTTGACCAATATGTTATGAGGGTAAGATTGTTTGTCTAGATGACATCTAACAGATCCATTATAGTCTTACAGACATTCGTTTATTGTTTATATATGTTTACTCCTTGTAGTTTGTACTATTAGATGTTCTCATTGCATATATCGGTCATCTACATAACAAATATCTATGGGTGGAGGCTAGACTACCAAATTTCACATCCCACTACCCCATTCATATGGGATTTTTGGGATTTAATGTTGATGTTGATGTATATGGGTGTTAAGTCTTGCTCAAATTTTCCCCACGAGCTTATCTCTCTGGAAACATATCAATGTGAACTTACTATCATGGTGTGACACTATGGAAAAAGACACCAAATGTCTAGCCATATTTTCATCGACATATAGCTTCATAAGCTTACCTATCCGATAAGGCGATCAAATTAGTATAAGATGAGCATTCTTGTCAACCAATCAACAAAAACATTACATTCTAGCTCTTCTTAATTTTTGTTATAATTACGAATGGAGTAATTATATGGTTGAGTGATATAAAGTGTGCTTGATCTAAGTGTTGTATGTAAGTGTCACAAATGGGTTTCGTATACAAGCTTTATAAATTCTGTTTGGATTATAAACCATTTTTATAACTTGGGTTACAACAATACATTGTTAGACGTTGATCACTTCTTGGAACAATGTTGCTAGAAATTATAAATGTCTATATGGTTGCACATTTAAAAGAAACTTGAACATATTATCATTTAAATTAACAAATAGTATATGATTATGTGGATTTAATCATTATAAATGTTATAACCTCTACATGACTACATATAATTATTAGTCAGCTGGTTATGTATTTTATTTATTTAATAAAATTCTAAATTTTATAGTTATACATGTATGTATATATAATATTAATAATAATTTATGAGATAGTTATTGATTTGTCAAATTAAGTAAGATTTTTTATTTTATTTTATTTTTGTTATTATCTGCATTAAACCATAATTGCATGTATAGATGTGTAATTTGTCATTCAAGCCAATTCTAATCAATCAACTGAGAAAGAGAAAGAGAAGAAAAGGATTTGTTTGGAGAAAACGTAAAAAGTAAATTACAAATTTGGTCTCTAAGCTTCACTTAAAATCTCAAGTTCAGACCAAATTCTAAAATTGTCCTAATACCATCCTTACGATCTGCGATCCATGTACTTTACTTAAAATCACAAGTTTAGTTTAATTTTAAAGTCATTAGGCACCTGCAACAAGAGGCAAACTTAAGGACAAAATTACGACAATTTCAAAATTTTGAACTTGCAACTTTTTAGGTAAAACACAATAACCAAATTTATATTTAGTCAAAACGTAAATTATGATTGTTTTTAAACTTTAGGTTATATATATATATATATATATATATATATATATATATATATATATATATATATATATATTCAAAAGAAGAAGTAAAATCTCTTTCTTCTGATATAGAGCCTAACTTCGGGATGAATAAAACCGAACCACATTTCGATCATCCTGGAGAATCTTTTTTTCTAGGTGAAAGAAGAAAAAGACCTAAAACTGAACAAGGTCATAGAACTGGCTCTATGTCAAATCTTCCCACTGGAAATCCAAACCAGTTCGGAACAAACGTTCTCAATATTGACAACATTGAAACAAATAGAAAAGAAGTTATCGATAGATGGACTTCGGAAATAAGTCTAATCATTCAGACTAATAAAGAAAAATATGCAACAAAAGAATCTATCCTTTTATTGTTTGACCATAAAACATCAGGAATAGTTCAAAATTTTATCAAAAATACAAACTGGATTAGTTATAATCTAATGACAGTATTCCAAAACATTGATGTCATCTACATGATGTTCCTTAGTATAGATCTTATAGAAGAGAAATTGAAAAAGCAAAATTCAGACTTACGAATCTCACCATATGTGATATTTGCTTTCTAGATCATTACACTTGTGACTATGAAACAAATCTTTACAAAATAAATGATTCAAATCTATATCCTGAGTTGATCAAACAATATCTATTAAAAATTCCTATTGTAGGACAACAATCTCATAACAGATTTATAACTGAATCTACAAATGTCACAATTTACAGTCTTGCTTTTGCTAAGAGAATTGTTATTGATGAGATTCAAAAAAATTTGTAATCTATCAAACACACAAAAAAGACTAAATGTTTTAACAAAAATTGTTGTAGTCATTTAACAAAAGAAAAACCCTTAGAGTATGGATGCAAAATTAACCATAAAACAAAAAATTCTTCAAAGAAATCTTTTAATAAATATTCAAAAAAGAACAACAAAAGATTTTCAAAAAAGAAAGATACTAGACGGTTTAAACCTGGAAAATATTTCTAAAAATCAAAAGATTTTTAAAAAACAAAAGACAAAAGTAAATTTTATCCGAAAAATAAAAAGAACTGTAGATGTTGGGTTTATAGTGAAGAAGGACACTATGCCAATGAGTGTCCTAATAGGAAAGATTACTCTCAAAAGGTTAAACTCCTTGAAATAGCGTCATCTATGGACCTTAGGCCTATAGAAGAACAATTTCAAGATGAACAAATCGTCTACACATTGATTGAAGAACCTCTTGATGAATCATCATCTTCTTCATCTACAGAATCAGATACTGATTCAGACTGATTCAAAGGTCATGAACTCTAAAAACGTGATACTAACTATCACAAATCCTAATTCAATCTATGTTAAAGGTACATTTAGATTCACCGGATATAAACATATTGATTTAAATTTTTATATTGATACAGGAGTCAGTCTTTGTATCGCAAGTAAATATGTTATTCTAGAAGAACATTGGATTAACACTCCATAACCTATAAAGGTTTCTACAGTAAACGGACATGTAATTATGAACAAAAAATGTGTTGATTTACATATTAGACTTGTCGGAGAAATATTCCATATCCCCTTTGTATACCAACAAGAATGTGGAATAGATTTACATATTAGACTTGCCGGAGAAATATTACATATTAGACTTGCCGGAGAAATATTCCATATCCCCTCGGTTCTGACTTCGGACCGAAGGTAGAAGAGGAAACCGAAGGTGAGGAGGGAACCGAAGGTGATGAGGGACCGAAATGGACCGAGGGTTCGGCTGTACTCGGTCTATGCGAGGTTCGGTCTGAGAGGGAAGGTTCGGTCCTGAGGAGCTTCGGTCCTCTTAGTTTCGCTTCTTAGAGTTTCGCTTCCAAGAGGTTCGGTTCCATTAGGGTTTCGGTCCCAAAGGGCTGTTTTTCAAGTAAACTTCCCGTTTCAAGCGGTTTTTGGCCAAGTTAAGGGTCGGGATGACCCAGATGACTATAAAAAGTTGAGAGAGATTTTGAGAGAGATTTGGGAGAGATTTGATTTTAGCAATTTTTATTGTATAATCTCGCAATGCAAGGTTCGTGAACCCCATTATGCTTCGTTTATGATTGTTTTAAGTCCCCAAAAGGGTCCATAGTCGTGTTTTAATGCGTTTAACTCCCTTTTTAGGGTTTTACATTGGTAAACACGTAAAATATCCGAAACACTTGAATTTTTGACATACAAATGCACATTCTTATATATAGAATAACTTTTAACATACAAGTACTAGTTAAGTTTGACCGGTTTGACTTGTTGACTTAGACTTTGACTTTGACTTGAATTTGACAGTTGTCACATTATCCCCCCGTTAGAAGGAATTTCGTCCCGAAATTTGCATTTTGAGTGGGACTTCAAGGGGTGGGGAATAGATGTGGGTACTTTTGCTTCATTTGGTCCTCACGTTCCCAAGTAAATTCGGGTCCTCGCTTGGTGTTCCAGCGGACCTTTACGATGGGAATGCAGCTTTGTTTCGTTGATTTGACCTCTCGATCCATGATTTCAACAGGTTCCTCTACAAAGTTGAGGTTTTCATTGATCTCGATTTCTTCCAAAGGAATGACGAGGGTCTCATCAGACAAACATTTCTTCAGGTTCGACACATGAAAAGGTAGGATGAACGTGGTTGAGTTCCTGTGGTAGTCGTAGTTTGTATGCCACTGGGCCAATCCTGGCGAGGATTTCGAATGGTCCGATATACCTTGGATTTAGTTTCCCACGTTTTCCAAAACGTACTAATCCTTTCCAAGGTGATACTTTTAGTAATACTCGATCCCCAACTTGGAACTCCGAAGGCTTCCATCTCTTATCCGCGTAGCTCTTTTGTCGGTCTTGCGAAGCCTTTATTCGTTCTCGAATTTGGACGATATTTTTCGTTGTTTCTCTTATGATTTCTAGGCCAGTGAGTGTGCTGTTAGGAACTTGTCCTCTTGCTAGTTGCGTATCGCCCACCTCAGCCCAACACAGGGGTGATCTGCACTTACGG